CAAATATTCAAACCAGCAACCATGAGATGTGACTTGAGATGTGATTTAATATGGTTATTTGAACATTTATCACTTATTTTTGATCATTTTGTGATTAATTTAGGTAAAAATAAGGTGAATCCTTATTTCTTGTCTCGTACTTGTCTTATCTACGTCACAGAAGTCAGAAGTTAAAATGAACCCTTAAAAGAGTGATTAGGCATTAAAGATTTTTCTCAGAAAGAGTTTGCTGCTCATGGAGAGTTGCCTCTTTTCTGGCTACAGTAGAAGATTTTTTTTCACATAAACCGGTGTATCGTCTGAACTTGAACTGGTGGTGCACGTTGTTGAATTTTGGACTGCTGTATAAACATGCTGAACTCCATTACACGTACAAAAAGATCCTCCTCTGGTTGGTTTGCTTTGAGGCGCAGAATTAGCCCGGTTCATTGACATGAGGGTCGTAAGGCAGAGACAGATTTTCTTTTTTGAATTTAAAGAAAAGCTCCTTTGATATGTTATCGCCTTTCATGTGTAAATTACAACAGCTGAGAAACGTCTTAAACAGCCTTGGGGGTATTTTTTGAACATTGGAGCAGAAATGGAAATTGTCATTGCATTCTGCAGCGATGAGGTGTAAAAGTTCCTTGGAGTCTTTGTAATGAAGAAAAGCTCTCGACGCTCAGAGCTGGATATTAAAGCTACAAGATGATACAATACGATCTGCCACCAGGAAATTCATTCTCTGAAATGAAAGAGGAAATCTAATTTCCCCTGTATACTTCTCATTTGAATGTAAATCAAAGGCTGGGTTCCTTCCTGTTTTGCCCACACTGAAATGGAAACATTAAACTAAGTATAGACTTCTTATCATCACCATTTTTCAGGGTGAAATGGAAACCAACATAGGTTGATTTCCTGCAATAAGAGTTGGATTTTGACTTTCCAGACAGCGAGTCACAGAAATGTGTAAACATTCAAGGTAATTACTTCTCAGTTTTGTCATTCAAAAGAATAAATGCCACTTCTCACCCTGTCTGAGGACAAATAATTGTGTAAAACATGTAATCTGTGGCTGAAACTAGATGATTGACAGAATATTAAATAGTTAATGGAGAAACATGCCCTTGCTGCAGCTACTGATTAATTACATTTTTTATGTTATGTGATTAAAGCTGAAACATGCAGTTAATTAGCTGATCTACAGAAAATCAATTTGCAGCAATGAAGACAGTGATTTCCCAGTAGTAAATACAGATATTACTGACTGAAGCTCGGAGACAGTGAGAACTTGCTGCTCTTCTTTGAGCCAAATATCTGTGGATTGGTTTGGAAATGTTTAAAAACCATTAAAATATTATGTGGGAAACTGAAAATGACATATTTAACTTTTCCACTCTCATCACTGCAAACTCAATGTAAAGTGACAGGCAGAAGCCAGTGAGCTTCAGTGAACAAAATCCACCTACCTGAATTTCGAAACCCACTTACTTCCTCTGTGACAGCGGATATGTTTTCTTTGCCATTTTGTTGTTCGTCTGTCCGACTGCAAGTTTACCCAGATACTACAGAGAGGATTTCAATTAAATTTTGACGGGTTGGGCATGACCCAAAGAAGAACCAATTAAATTTCAGAGGTTAAGGGGCAGATTTTGTGAATTTTAGAATATGTTTGGTTATCTGAGGAGACACGTGTAATATGGTGATAAACTGGCCAGTCAGCCTTGGCAGAGGTGTCTCCCCTCTTAGTTAGCACATTATATCATGTTTGTTCAAGTCAAAAAGTAAGGTATAAAAATGTGTTGATCATTATTTGTTATATCACAGTATGTGCTAGACCAGAGGACTGTTCAGACCTGGCACTAACATCCCTCCTCAGAGATCCGATCACAAGTGTTCAGCTCTAAGTTCGTCTCTTCACACTAAAATCAAAATGTCCCCACTTGTGTTCGGATCTCACTTCTCTCTTCTATATGCAAATACACATGTATGTAGTTTCTGTTCACAAAGACCAAATGATGTTTTTACCCAGTTCAACAATGTCAGAAAGAGAGAGGGGGAGTGGCTGAGTGAATCACCGTGGCCTTGTGCGTCCAACTGAGGTCTGAGGGATTGGATCTAAAATCCATCCTCAATATGTGGAGAGTGTGTGTTCACACCTCAACATAGAGCTGTCCATGTGTGATCAGATCACTCAGGAGAGACGTTGATGTCAGCTCTGAACAAGGTCTTTCTCTTTGCTGCGCCAACTGAACGTTACAGCTCCTGGACAAGAAGTAGTTTCAAAAGGAGTCCGCTGTTTCAGACAAGGTCAGGTCAACGATCCATAAAGACTTACAATCTGGAATTCTTGTCAAATAGTGGTCTGCCTCTTGGAAAGTTTTTAAGGATAGTGTATTCACTTGGACGGAGATTATGAAGATACAGTTTTTTCTGGTTTAAGAGTGGATGTAGACACAATACTGATTTGAATTGACTGAGATTTTTCTTTTTTAAATTCCACTACGTTCCTCCTGTACATGTGCCATATCTAAGCTATTTCCTCTGTGAGCAGGTTAAAAACATTTGGCCCAGCGCAAATACTGTGCCAGTGAGTAGCTTCAAGGGAAAGCGAGAGGCGTGTCTTAGATGATTGCATGTATTGACTTTCATCCCGTAAAATTACCCAGCACTGCTTTTTTTTTTATTTGACACCCAGTCTCCTCCAGTGATAGATACCCAGTGGGCCCTCCCTCTTGAGCTGCAGCCAAACATTATCCGTCTTTCTGCAGACATGAAATCCACCTCAGACCAGATCTATCCGGGCACATTTAATAAAGCACTTTGTTGCTTCATTGCACAGTTGTGTTCTCAAGGACACCAAGCCACTGCAGCAGAGCAGTGACATGGCCTTCCACTGAAATACCACTGCTCCAGTAATGTTTATGAGGACGACAATATGTCAACTGTCTGCCGATTAGTGCATGTGGAATGTGCCGTGTGATTAGATCACATACGCACATGTAAGATGTAGACTTCCACCCGGAGGTCCTGCTGTGGTCCCGCTCAGCTGTCTGGATCAGGTCGAACAACATGGGACACACAAAACAATGCTAGGGACACAGCTAAGATGTAAAAAATAAAATAGTTTTCATGTGTTTGCAAATTAGGTCACTCCCCGGGCAAGTCTGCCCTCAAACACGCAGGATTCATTCAAAATATGTATTTATAACTCATCCATAAAGTAATGTGTCCATATTTTGTCATTTCATTGTACAAATGTGGCTGAGGGGTAGAGCGGTCACCCCCATCTGCATGCCCAAGTGTCCTTGGGCAAGATGCTTAACCCCGAACTGC